CGTATGTCTAAAAAAAAAAAAGAAAACATAATATCACCCCCCCCTTCCCTTCCCCCACCCTGACGTATTTCAGTAATAATAGTGCATCATAAAAGTGTAGCAGCTGTGCGGAGGTATTACAATAAACCTTTATCGTCTTTTATTAAAGGGTCCATTGTTTCAAATTTAAACAACAGCAATGAAAAACAGCAGTTTGGGAAAAGTAAGTTGAATAAAAAAAAAAAAAGTCACTATTTGTGAGTACACTCTATAACTGGCTATAAACCCTACAATTATTTATTTCAGGTAAGTTTAAAGAAGTAATGTTGTACAAAATCGGAGCAACCATCTCATATATTTAGTTTTATTTTGTAAAAAAACAAATTTTCCTTACCATTGGGATTTTTACTAACATATATAATATATAACTTTATGTCCTTAATATTTCATCTAATTACTTACTAATGTTATTTAATTTTAATTTCTCCTATGGTGCTCTGCTTTATCAAGGTGGTTACACTATTTATCTCTATTCTCGTAAAATGTGTATTAAAACCTGGATTTGTTTTTAACAAACTATTTATCACTGAATTTATTGATGTCAATTAAATGTTTACAATAAATCTCCTTATCACTGAAATAAATAACTTGTGTGTATAAAACAATATTTATTAATAAAGGTTTTTCTGAAATACTGTATGTGCTTCACTTTTTCAAATGCCTTTCCCTCCATTATGTTTATATTAAAATTTATTATATATTAGTTTTCTCAGTTTAGCAGAACTGACAAAGAAATAAAAATTTACCCACACTGTTAACCCCAGATGTTTACTTGCTATGATGGATGGATGGATGGATGGATGGATGGATGGATGGATGGATGGATGGATGGATGGATGATGTATGGATGGATGGATGGATGGATGGATGATGTATGGATGGATGGATGGATGGATGGATGGATGGATGGATGATGGATGGATGATGGATGATGGATGGATGGATGGATGGATGGATGGATGATGGATGGATGGATGGATGGATGGATGGATGGATGGATGGATGATGGATGGATGATGGATGATGGATGGATGGATGGATGGATGGATGGATGATGGATGATGGATGGATGATGGAT